AGATGTTCATAAGTTAAATTGATTTAAAATAAATTTAAGAGCACTTTTTATGTAATTATTAGACAATTTTCCATTTTCTTTCGAATATGATAAACATGAATGACCAAGAAAACGATGTTAACATGTAATATCATCATTTGCAGGTATTTGAATTTGAATTGATTCAACTATTTGACATTGAATATAAATAATATTCCAAAAGTCAACTTCAACATGAATATAATTGAATGATTTTAATAAGTTTGAAAGTGGTGATAAACTATATCCATTAAATGGACTAATATTATATCGGTTAGTTCTCGTTTCGTCGAAACGTTAATTGATTTTCTCGTTTCGTCGAAAATAAATTTTTCACCCATTCCCGTTTCGTCGAAAATGAAAAAAACGACTGTTCCCGCTTCGTCGAAAAGATAAATTCTAACTAATCAACGAAGAATAGATTATATCCTTTGATAAGATTTCTTCGTCATATCAATCAGGAATAGCGCCTATTTACTTGTAGATACATTTATCAAAAAATTTTTATTATAGAGCAGATTTGGATACATAAATAAGAAATTATTAAGAGAAAATATGAACATAGAATTTCCAATAAATAGTTGTGTTAAAAATTTTATCCTGTGTGTAGCGAAAAGCATCAAGTAATAAAGTTGGTTTCTTACTTTTACTCTCAACAATAGATAGCATCTTTTTGTTTAATAATGAATATAGCAAAAAAATGAATTGTCCCTTTTACTCCACATACATATATTTTTACAAAATTTCAGATTAATAGTATAGGGATATCAATTAGTTTCTTTTTAAGAAAATAGTTCAAGTAAATCATAGATATTGAGCTTATCGCTTTGATTATGCTCTTTTCATTACAATTTAATTTTTCGACGAAACGAGAACAGTCGTTTTTGCATTTTCGACGAAACGGGAATGATGAAAAAAAGAGTGTATCAAATTTTTCGACGAAACAGGAAAATCAATTAGCGTTTCGACGAAACGAGAATCTACCATTATATCATCATAATGGATTCCAATAATTCTTTCTCATTGAATTATAAATTGACATGAAACTAATAATTGGTGGAAAAATAGGATTGAATTCAATATGAATTAGTTGAGATTGATAATCAGTATGAATAATACTTTCAAGCACTCAGCATTCATATGAATCAATATCAAGTTTAAGAATAGTAAAAAATTTTTGTAATGTTATATTTTTCAAAGATATTTTCTAGAATAGATTCACACGAAATAAAATCATGTATAATATGAACATTATGGCGATTAGGATAGGTATTAAAAAAAAGATGGATTCATATTTGAATCAATGAGAAGTGCATTAAATAATGAATTGATAGCAGTAAGAAGGGGGATAAGGTGGATTATATTGACCACCTTCTGTAGATGCAGCACCAATATTAACGAGTAAAATACGTTTTGGACAAATATGAGCAACAATATCAGTTAATTACCGTGTATTTGTTTAGCTTTTATTATTAGAACAAGGACTACAAAAACCATGATCTTGATTAATATATGTGGGTTGTTTAACTCTCTGTTCTGCTGTGTATCATACTTGAAGAGATATCGATATGAATGTAACTGATCGTTGTTGAATAAGAAAATATATAGAAAAAATAAAAGGTAACTACTCCAATAACATATCTACTGTCAATAATTTTTTGATGACTACTTATCGTTGATAGTTTGTCGAGCAAGTACATGATAGAAATGAATGAATATAATATTAGTTTGATTGTCTATAATTTTTAGATATAAGTATACATTAAGAGAATAAAAATCGTATTCTTTTAATTCATGATTTATGATTCGAAGGTATTTTCGAGATATATAATATTATTTTTATTTTTGTTTTAGAAAATATTTATGAAAAATAAAATAGTTAATTTAATATAGTATAAATATTTTTTCTATATTTTATTTTTGAAAGAATCTTTTTAAATGAGAATTTTAATTTTATATTTATGAGATTTTCATATTAAATGGGTCATACAAAAATTTAGCAATAAACTTATAGAGTAGTTCGACGGATAGTCAATATTAATATTTTCCGAAATTATTTTTTTTTTTGAGTTGCAGATATTTTATTTTCTAGAAACGTTAGTAGATGTAAATTGTATTGTCGTTCTAATTACAACACATGATGAAGTACTGTTCAATGTCATCGAATTATTACTAACGGTAGCTAGTGTTGATGATAATAGACCAAAAATAGTTGGTTTTATTGTTGTACTCGTTGCAAATGAAAAGTCAGATGCAGATGACCGATGTACTGAAGCTGATGAGCCAGATACAGCAAACGGATCAACGCTGCTAAAAACTGATATAAATGTTAAAGCACGAAAAAGTAGGCGAGGTAAATGTTGAAATTTCAAATGAGAAAAAAAACGATACAGAAGAAGTATGTGCTAATGAAATGTAGGTATACATCAGTATCACTGTTATACTAATTTATCGGTATTGACGCTAGTTATTATTTACATAGCAGTTTTCTTGGCAATCAGCTTTGTCGTAGACTTTTATAAAAAATCAAGTTTTTCAGCACTAGAATGCAGTATAATATTTTAGTTATTTCTCTCGCTGCTAATATCAATCAGGTTTATCCAGTCTCATTCATGATTTTTACTTGAGAAACAAACGTCAATTTTATTGTTGATTATGTCTTAGAATAAGAAATCGTACGTGATTAAACAACCATGTGTGAGAAATCATATAAAAGGTCGTTATTTGATCAATATAATTTCTCCGATGGATGTTTATTTGTGTGCGATTTCTTATTCCCAGACTTAAACAGCAATAAAATATATGTTTATCTGTTAAGTAAAAATGATGAAAGTTGATTGGATAAACTCAATTAATATTAGTAGCAAGAGAAGTAGCTAAAATGTTACATTTAGAAGTGCAAATCAATGCATTGATCAGCTTCAGTGGCTGATTTTATTTTAATTTTTTGCATCTTTCAACAATAGATCGTGCAACGCATCAATCGATTTACAGACTACAGCATTCGCTGTCGTTTTCGTATCCATGATCTATACAAATTTTCTCCAACTTATCGATTCATTATTATTACTTCAATCATTGCAATGTTAACCACTATTATTGAAAAAAGTATCCGCGCATAAAATCTAAAATCTACATCCTCGCTTCATTTGTTGCTGCGCTTTTAAACGATTTGTTTGAAAGTTTTACATGCACTACATCTGAGTACCATTAGCATCTGTTGTCACTAGAGCATTAAATACAACCTATCCTAATATTATCATATTCATTTACAAGGATAATCAATAGCCTGCGGATCAATTTATTCGATTGTATTTTTTTTCAACTATGTCTCGAAGGACTATCCATACACCCCATTTGATATTTCTATGAATGTCCTCAAGTGCAGTTATCAGCTCATTAATGACTCCATTCATTTTTACTGTTTTTTATCCAATCTTTAGACCATTTTGCATGTGCGTTATCTGAGATCCTAGTTGTAATTCCCGAGTGCAGTTAGTAACGAAATAATTAGATCATGGGTTGCTACATTTTCATTCATTTCATCGTGAGTGTCGCACGCAACGTCTCTGACAATTAAATTCTTATCCTTGCGTGCAATCACAAGCTCACTGATCATTTCGTTCATTACTGCATTTTATTCGATTTCACTGTAGCTTTTGCATGCTCTCTGTCTACTCTTCAAATTCTTGTTTCTGAGCATACAATCACTAGTTTACAAGCTAGCTCCTTCTCTTCTCAGACTCCCAAGAGCATCATATGCATTCTCGCTTTGATTGTCAAACTTTCATTGTCAAGTACAGTCAATAATCTACTGATGACTTCATCACTTGCTATTATTTCATCCATTCTATTGAGAGCTATAGATGCACTATTGTGTGCGCGAGTGAAGAGAAGAATCACACCCATACTTGCATCCTATTCATACCAAGAAAACAAGTGATTTCTCTACAGAGTTCATAGGCTCAGGTGTATTATGTGATAATACACGTCTTCTATTAAATGTAAGAAAGAATTTACTCAACCGAAGTGAACGAGCAAATGTCCATTTTTAGATAATATCAATTATTATTTTCATTATATTTTTTGATGTATGAATACACTATCTGTATATGAATTACATACAGAAACTTCTTCTTGATTATAATAAGTTTTAAAGACAAAATATTTAACTCATGAATAGTTTCAAGTCTAAATACAACGAAAAATTCAATTATGAAAAGAAGCTTGATAATAAAACATCAGTTCAAGAGAAATCGGTTTCTTTTTTTTTTTCTTCATTCTCAACAAATATACTTTTAATTCTTTCTTGATCTGATCCGTATGGGACAAGGTGTTTGTGCGAATTGCATTAAATTCATATGTATTGAAGAAGTAAAATAGAATATAAACGACAACTTGACAAGAACTCGATGTATATTTGACATTCAATATGATTATTTGTTTTGACTATTTTAAAAACAAAATATATCATTTAATAAATGACAAAATCTAATGAGAAAATGATTATGATATTTAACTAGAAGAAAGAATCGTATCTATGCCATCCATCAATTTAAACAAGCACAAATTCATTGAAAGAAAAGTTTATTTATGAATATTTTCAGTTTTATTTTCGAATATTTATGTACAAATTTTATCTTTTCGAAATAACTAAAAACTCTGTGTTTTTTTTTAAATAGATAAATATAATATATACATATATATATGTATGTGTTTCATCATTAACATTCTTTCACATATACAACTCATACATGTCTATCTGACTCTTCTGATGAAAAAAGCCTACACAACTTGTATTAATCCACGTATAACAAAAGAAAGAGAACTCAATAGCAAACACAAACCTTAACAAAAAAAAAAAAAAAAAGGGAAAACAACTAAATTATTCCAATGACACATGATAAGATAAGGATATATTGAAATTTGGTTTTTTTAAAAAAAATAGTTTATATTCATAACATATATATATATATATATGTTTATTTGGCAATAATTGAGAGAGAATGAGCATCGATACGAGCTTGTTCTTCACGTAATTGATTTAATGTTTGATCAATTATAATAGTTTCTTTTTTTATAGTTTTACTTTTTTGATTATTTTGATTTTCTTTTGTTTGATATGTTGATGTTCCATTTAATCGTTGTCGGCTACGATCTATCATATGAAAAAAAATAAAAATAAAATTCTTGAAATTAATTTCAAAACAAAAATCAACTGACTTTGACTAGTTTTTGATAAAGATAAAATGAAATTTTGCTTGTTCTCAAATACGTCATCATCAAACATTGAATCATTATCCATCAATGATTCTATTTATTCAGAAAACAAAAAAAAAAAACAATCTTCAATTTTATAAATTATTTATTATTTCATACCAGATAATATTGATTTCGAATATGAAGATTGAGATTTGTCATGTTTTAATTCTTCAATATCAAAATATAAATCAATGGCGGAATCATCTTTTATACGTTTTTTTTCATTTGTCGAATCCTTAAAAGCTCGTTTAATACTTGATGACATCTGGAATAAAAAAAAGGAAAAAAGAAAAAGGAACTACACATAAATAAATCCCGATGCTTATTTCTATATCATAACCATCACATATATACGTAAAATACGACAGGAACCGACTAGTTTCAAGAAAATAAAGAGGCATTATATTAACACGTAGACAAATGAATGACAAAGAAAAAAAAGAGAGATTCATTAGTGATGAATGACGAAACAAGAAAAAAAAATAATGACTAATTTTCCAATTTCTTTCAGTAATTCACACGGGTATATCTTTTTTTTTTTAATGCGTAGTTTTTTTTTTCTTTTTGTTGTTCTATAATATATCTGACACTACGCAGAAAAAAAAACTATAATAAAAATATTCGAATTATTATCAGCTAAAGCTGATGAAACATTTAAAACGTTATTTTTTTTTTTTGGAAGTATTACTGTTAATGATGATTCTAAAGAAAAAGCAAGCAAAAATGTTTTTTTTTCTTTTGAAATAGAAATATTTTACCAATGAAGAATTATTCAATGAAACCATTTTCTTTCGCATATTTTTCCCATCTATCATCATCTTCAGGAATTGTTAACCAACGGTCACAAGCACATGAATCTTCAAGTTTACGTAAATCACAATACAATTGATAATCCTATATTAAAATGTTATATAATATTTTCATTATCCGAAACAATAATTAATAAATCAATAAAAAAAAAAGAAATCATGCACACACCTCAAAGAAAGCATGTCTGAGAGCAGTAGCAGCAGCAAATCGATGTCCAGTATTGACTTGAAGCAAATGATGAGAAATAAGATCGATAGCTAAAATAACCGTGCATTATCATGCAATCAATTTTAAAATAGAAAAAAAAATTTCTACATGCGCATCAGAAAAATCATTACTCATGCAATTTAATTTTTAAAAGAAATAAATGAAAAACTATAATCAATATTCAACCTGAAGCCATGGTTGTAAAAAGACTTTATTAATATGTAATCGTTTTCTACTATCCAATGCTAATAAACTTTCGAGAAAATGTAAAGCTATCAAAAATGAAAATCTTTTTAGGAAACTTTTAGTTTTTTTTTTTTTTTTGATATTTTAAATTAAGAAAAAAATGAAATTCGATTTACCTTCGTGTGATATATCTTTCCATGGATTTGATGGAAACATAAAATTTGCATTGCGAATTTGCTAAAGATAAAAAAACAGATAAAATTTTAAAAAACAATGAAATTTTAAAATATTTTTACATCTTCTATTTCTTCGTCTTCATTAAATGGAAAAGTACCACTTAATCTAAAAATAATTCAATTTATAAATATGTAATTTAATTCTTTTAGAAAAATGAAATTTGAGTTTAGAACAAAAAAAAAAGTTAGTTGTACTTACGAAACATAAATAATGACACCACATGACCACATATCTAATGAACGATTATAACCTTTTTCTAAGCGAATTTCAGGTTTTAATGCTTCTGGAGCTGAAAGAGAAAAGACAAATTCAGTATTGAAATTTTTGAATCTTTAAGTAAACAGATAGAATCATTATTTAAAGTTATACAAATAATGAAATTCGAAAAAAAAAACCTATCAATTAGAATTTGATAAATATCTTCAATGGCAAAAATCTTCGATTCTTTTTAAGAAAAAATTTCAAATTTGATTAATTTTCTACTCAACTTTCTTTTATCAAATGCTAACTTACAGATTTAATACTGTATAGTTCCGACATAATAAGAACATTCTTCGAAATTAGTCAAATATTTTCAAACGATTACTATCATTGACTTATATTTATTTAATTACAACACGTCGATCAACATTTTTAATATAATCTGAGTTTTTTTAAGTCCACAACAGAGTTGTGTTCATGACATACTTTGAAATATTAGTCATGGATGTACTCATTTCCGTATATAAAATCTCTGTAGAATGCTTGTAAATATTAACAAATGTTATTACTTCATTCTATAAATAAAGTATCAGTTTCAAATTGACTAATATTGCTTTACTACAAATTTTCGGCAAAAATGTTTAAGATCATTAGTAATCTGAGACATATATACATTGAACTCAAATACAAAAAAAAAACAAGAATACATACGTAAATAAGCAGGTGTACCAACCATAGATCGTCGAAATGATTTTTCTCCGATAATTCTTGCAAAACCAAAATCACATAGTTTTATTTGTGGAAAATCTTGTACTTGAGCCAAAAGAACTATTAAAAAAAAATAAGATGAAAATTTTCTTAAATATATAACAAACTATTTTCTGGTTTTAAATCACAATGTACAATAGATTTGCTATGTAAATATCTCAAGGCAACAAGAACCTAATTAATCAAAAGAAAAAGAAAATAGGTCTTTTTTTTTTTCTTCAAGAAAATAAAATAGATTGATAAGTATTACTTGATAAATTAAAAATTTTGTTTGTCGTTCACTAAGACGTTTTGTTGGTTGTGATAAAATCATTTCAAGCATATCTGAAGTTAATTTTTCCATAACCATATAAAACTAAACAACAAAAACGAAAAACAAAAAAACAAAAATCTAATTTTTTATTCTATTTTAAATTACCTTTCTCGGAGTATCAAACATAGCATGTAATTTAATCACACCTGGATGTGATACTTCTTGTAAAATATCAACTTCACGATGAATTTTTTCTTCCTGTTCATTAAAACGTGTTTTATCAACAACTTTAATTGCAACATGTTCATTTGTTTCTATCGAATGACCTCCATAAACTGTGCCAAATTGTCCACTACCAAGTACTTCAATTGGATTTATTTTATATAATTCATTAATATCACGATTTTGTGATCGTGATGAAATTATTGTAAATACATTTTTTACTTCACATCCATCATTATCATATGCTAATAATGCTTGTCTAATTTGTGTATAAGCATTTCTTGCATGCTGTGATGAATGTACTAAATCATAATTCTTTAAATAAATAAGAAAAACAACAATAAAAAAAAAAAGAATTGTTTATTTTGTTTTTCGACAAATAATTTTTTCGTTCTTACTCGATTTCTTCTTCGTTTACATCCACAATAATAAATTTTTTGTTGTGTTCTTATTTCAAAATAATGTCCTGTATTATCATTTGTATTTAATTGTAATAAAACATGTTCTAAGAATATTTCACGAGAAAATTTATTTGTTGCTTCATTTGGATACATTGTTATACATCTTATGAAATTAAATAAAAATTAAAAAAAGAAAATTTTTATTAACATACGAAGTATCAACACGCCAATAATATTTTTTTTCTATTAATAAATCTTGATCTGTTGTGTGTATCATCCAACCTTCCCAAAAAAGAGCACCACCATCAGCTTTTTTTATACGTTTAATACTTTGAATAAGACGTTGAGCACGAATATTTCCGTGACGAGGATTTTCGTTATCATCATCTTCATCTTGTGGAGAATTTATTGGAGAAACACATAAATCTTGTGATTTGCTAGCTATAGCTAAATCATCTTTTGTTTCGCCTAATGAATCATCATCATCTATTCAAGAAAGAAAAATCTTATTTTCATTTTCTTCGATTTAGTTAATTTTTTTTATTACCCGGACTATTGTTTTGTATCGGCGTTCCTCGACAATTTTTCATTACTTTCGGTATACATTTTTTATGCACACTTATTTTACAATCTAAAAATAAATCTAATTTAATATTCAAGAAATAAATAAAATGAATTAATCTACCTTTACATCGATATCCTTGTTTAACAAGACCTTTTAATAGACGTTTACAAATATGACATTTTGTTGGTGAACGATAACTGTGTACATAAAAACAATGTGGTAATGCTGGTGGTAATTCTGTACCAGTTAATGTTAAACGTTTTTGTAAATCAGGAGCAGTCTATAAATAATATAAAACATTCTTGACATTGATTTCAACAGGATCTTATCATTAGTATGTGTTAATGAAAATGAAAGAAATCCGTCGACATTCATATAGTGCATGTCATTCTAACATTAAAAGTTTCTTTTTTCTATTCTAATTACTTTTTTCGTCAGTACAGATAGAAATCTAATATATTATTAATTTTTTATTCAACAAAAGGTCTTCGTTTTTCTCGACTCTCCTAGTGTATAATATAATTCTCTTTCAAAATTCAATGAAAAAATAAATATCAATAATATTTACATTATTATCACGTGAACATGTCACATCAGAGATTTTTCTTGCCATAGGTGAACAATTATCAGGCAAATCTGATACACATCGCTTATGAAAACTTCGACCACATCCTATCATAGAAATGAATTTATTTCAATAAGAATTCAAAGAGCAAAGAAAAAAAACAACATTAATTGAATAATCTACCTTCACATTTCATTCCTTGTTTATAAAGACCAAATAAAAATTGTCCACATAAATCACAAAATGTTGGTGATAAATAAGTATGTAGACTTAGTACATGCGGAACAAGACCACTATATTCATTCATGATGTAGGCTGAAAAAAAGCAAATATAAGAAATGAATCTATCATTCTCAATGTTCATTAATTAGTATCTAAGTTATAGATTAGTTGGTTGATTAAATCTGACTAAGAAAGATAGAAAGAAGAAAAAAATTTTATTAGGACTCTTTTGTTGTTTTTTTTTGATAAGAATAGAAATATTACACTTTCTTTTTTTTTCTCATTTGCACCTAATAAATCAATAAATATTAGTTTTAAGTAACAATAGAAATAGAAGATAAAAGTCGTCCGGAAATAAATAGATGTAAACTTGTTTAGCATATAATTTATATATATATACATATATATTTCAACAATTGTGGAGATGGCCATCAGACGCATAATTAAATTGACTATACAAGCGTATAAATAAGAACAAGAGCCTTAACTAACAAAACTAATCTTTCTTTCTCTTCTTCGTTCGTTTTTCCTATGACATAGTTTTATTAAATCAATACTCTAAATGCTACAACGACAGTAGTAACAATCAAGGATTGCTTTATTTCCTTTCGCCAACACGCTTATCAAA